AATCTGTACTTATAGATGTTTTACAATAGAAAAGTAATAAATTGCAAATTACTCGAAAAGTAAACATTTTTAGGATAGCAACCGTGTATAAAGTTGCGCTAATTTTTCATGCTTGATGCGATAAACTTATAAAAATAGGGGGTTCTCATTTGAAAAAATCGACTTTTGTCAATTTTTGACATTCAGTTTTTATACTAATTTTTTGACCGCCCTCTATAAATAATTATCGAAATATCGTACAAAGTCTATTAAACTATATCCGGGTTTACCAGAAAATCAATCCAAGTTAAACCATAAGGTGTTCTACATAGGGGAAGTGAACAATTATTTTAGGGCCTGTAAACGTCAGTTTTGACATGAAATTTGAAATATGTCACCTCGGTGGCCGCGTGGGTCAGAGTGTCGTGCTACTGATCAGCCGGCCGGCCGGGCCGCGAGTTCGAATCTCGCCTTCGCCATGGATGTTGTGTGTTTGTTTTAGGCAGCAGCGGTGGCCGCAGTAGTAGACCTTCGGTCTCCTGATCAGTCGCCGTGCGCTGTGCGGGTTCGAATCCCGCCCCAGGAGAAATTTTTCTCTTGGCTATGGATGTTGTGATTGTCCGTAGGTGGTAGATGGTCTCTGACTGTCGAACGCGGAGGTACCACCCGGCGGTTCTCGTAGGCGGAGCTAGAATGTGTGCATGTTGCATGCACACGTGTTCCCTCGCCAGAGTCCGTGTGGCGTCCCCCCTTTCCCATGTATCCCCCTATAGCCCCACGGTATACATTAGTATACTCTCAAATTTTCAAAAATATATGCCTACATTTCGAGAAATCTATCGGTGCGATGGAGTTCCCGATGCGACACCCTGTATAGTGATGTAAGCAAAGTTGAATTAATATTCAACGTAGATTTCAACTGATCCTATAATTTCTCATATAATACATATTGCCCCAGCTTGGGAAGAACATGTACAACTTTGTTATAGTTGATTTTTATTAAACAACTTCTCATTTGATTTCGTGGGGAGGGACCTCGGTTGGCCGGGTGGGTCAGAGTGTCGTGCTACTGATCAGCCGGCCGGCCGGGCCGCGAGTTCGAATCTCGCCTTCGGAAATAACATTCCGAAGACACGGATGTGGCGTCGTGTGTTTGTCATTTGGATATTTACATATATAAACATATTCTGTGGCTGTGGTTAAAACCTGATGCCAATTTGTGTATAAAAAAATTGGTGGGGCTTGAGAGAAGGAGGACAGCTCCTTCGAAAACATTAATGAACTACAATATGTGCAGCGAGAGCAAGAATAGTGAAAAAAGTGAATGTTTTCAATGAAAAGTGAGATGGATCGAAAAAAGTGATTCGCCAGCATCCCTTCATATGTCATTTGCAATTCAGATACGAAACATAAGCAGTGGACTATAAAAATATTGAGTTGGTGGAGTCCTGTTAAACATATCATATAATGACTGTTAATACCTCCAAAGCCTAAGCTAAAGTAAATAGTGCTGGTGAATTGTGCATTGCAAAAAAAGGATCAAATATATATCCAAGCAGCTACAAATCAGTAGCTCTGCCATCTGCCATTAATAACCAGTGTAGTGATGCTGATGTGTATTAACAGGGAGCATCTAAACTTCTAAACAGTCTAAACATCGTCGCATGGTTAGCGTTAGGCGTTTAGGTATATGGATTCTACTACGAGTTGTCGAAACTGGATACCGGCTAGAGAGATCTTCCTTTTTATAAGATTCATTTAGATGCTATCTTTCTGCCCCGAGGAACGTATAGGTGGCGCCACTAATACCGTAACTAAATTTCCTAGGTGTTATAATCTACTCCCTTGAGAGCGACCCCAACAAACATTTTAAGTTATAATTACGTTAATTCGACCACAAAATAGATTAAAAAGATTGCATGACAAATTTAAGAAAGGTTATATTTACTTCCGTGCGTTTTCCTTTTCCCCAAGGTGGGGAATAAAACCAAAGAAATTTAGAAGTCAATATAAAGTCTATTAGGCATTTTACTAATAGGTCGAAGGATTTAAGCAACTATTAGATCATATTATGGCAAAATCATAGTAGTTTTGCCCTATAAATGCACATAACCTTAATTTAACAATAAAGGAAATATACTCCCTATTTCACGAGTATCCATCACGCTTTGACGTCTACTGATCAGCAACTGACATTTTTGTGTTAGTCTGCAATGTTGACAATAATGAATCAGGTGTAAATCTAGTAAAAATTGTTCCTAGAGTTTTGTTTTTTGTTTGCAAATGAACTTTTCTTAATAAAGGAGTTTTTAGCATGTGCAAAATGAATCTATAGCGTCCAAAAAAACCAAAACAAGACAAGACTGTCTATCTGGCATTGACGAATCCGTCAAAATTATGTGTCCTTTGCCGATTTGGGGAATTTTGAAATATTTCTAGATAATCTCATTCTACCGTAATGGATACTCCTAAAAAAGATTATATGTCGATCTCTCTTGCTCATTCATACAGTTGGTTGAAAATAAGTTTAGGATCATGCACTTGCCTACAGCCAAGTATGTGAAACTTTCGGAACTAGATTTTTATAGTCAGTTTACCCTATTTCAGACCTAATAATTACTTGTTACACAAATTCCAAATTCAGGTGAAACTAGGTCCTGGTTTTTATTTTTGGACAATTTGTCACTGAATAATTCTTCACATTGATATACGTAGACTATATTTGTTAGTTTCCCGTGGCTGGCAGAATGATGTTTTTTTTTCTTCAAAATCTTCATGAGCCCAGCCAGGGGAGATTTTTTATTAAGTAGAAGATAGAGGAAGGCGAAAAAAAATGAAGAAAAGGAGAAAGGCGAAAAAAGGGGAATAGAATCAATGAATAAGAAGGGAATTTATTTGATCTGTTCTAAAGATCGTAGGCATTTGCAAATCTCTGTGAATGGTGTCATTGGAGATGTATCATGGGGCACATACTATGGTGTGGAGAATTTTGTTTTGGATGATTTGCAAAGTACGCACACGAGACTTGGAGGCAAAGCAGACCTGCAATCCGAATCTTATTGAAAGCCTTTGAAATATCCAAAAAAAAGAACTCCAGTAATTTGATTTTGAGCGAATCCAGAGGTTATCATCTCCACAAGTCTCATTGGCCGTACTGTGCTCGACACGAAATCCGAATTGTACCATGGGAATTGTTTGAAGATCAAAACAGTAATTCTCTAGATAAGTTCGAATAACCTTTTCGGCCAATTTAGACGGAGAAGACAATAGACTTATGGGGCGATAGTCCTGTTGAAAAATTGATCCCACTTTTTTCGGGATCATCACACCTTCAGCGATTTTCCAGTCTCTTGGAAAATATTGGATCCTGAGCATCGCATTAATTATTGTTAGGAGATATTTCAAAGCCATCGGAGATTAAAGTTTCAGTGCCTGGTTGATGATTTGATCTCCTCCTGGTGGTTTGGCTACCTTAAGGTCTTTGATATTACCGTGAAGTTCCGCAGGAGTGCAATGCGGAACTTCTAGGAGCGGTTCTACGAGTTATTTAGGATCTCTTCGAGGAAGCTATTCCATTCTTCATTTCGGTGTTCAAATAAAGCGTCCCTAATGGAATGGGCAAGATTCGTGCCCCTTCTAATGTATTCAGGGCGGCGAGTACGTTTAGCGATCTTAATGGCTCATCTTTTATCCCTTTTCTTTTGGCGAATATCAGCAGGGAGAAAAGGAGTATCAGGGTACCTTCTTCTTAAGGTAGCTGCTCTTGCAAGCGCCTCTTGCACGAATCTGGTCCACTCCGAATCTAGTTCGCTCTCAGTACCTATAACGGAATATTGGGAAAGGTCGCAATCGACTTAGTTCCCAATCAGTGCGCTTTGTCGAAGAAGATTCTGCATAGTTTTGTTCGGTTTCTACCTCCAAGATGACTGGCAAATGATCACTCTGAGTATCATACAGGACTCGAGAAGTAAAACTACAGTTGCAATTTCAGAATATAGCTCAATCAATCACGTCTTGTTTTAACAGACTGTTGTATGGATGGTGTGTCGGCTTCTCCGTGGAGTGTATAAGGCATCGATGTTGCATGACATAATTATACAAACGAACACCGCTAGATGTTTTGAGCCTTGCATTCCTTGACCAGTGTTTGAAGTTGTAGTCCCTCGCAGCAATTAACAGACCCGGGCAGTCCAGCTGAACTTCCAAGTCCACCTTTTGAAGCCGAAGACCACACACACCTCACATACCTGTACACTATTGTGAGCTTCAGAGAAATGCCCGTCGCCAGACAGAAGCAGCCTCGATTCTCTGCATGTCAACATTGGTGCTTTTGTGGTAGTCAATACCGCGCCGCATAAGTACGACCAAACTGCCATCCCCCCTATTTCCTATTTAACCTGTCTGCTCGAATGGCATGAAAATGTGGGACGACAAATCTATCGTCCGGTTTCAGCACCGATTCAGGAATGTTTCTTGCAACAAGGCTACATCTATAGATGCATCAATCAGGGCTTAATGAAATTCACGTTTTTTGCGGATATCCTTTATCCCACAAGCGTTAGAGAATAGAATTTTTAAAAATAATGACCGCCTTTTATCACTAGACGTTTACGGCTCGGTTTCTGGTTGCGGAAAGACAGCCTTCAGGGCTTGTGTTGTGTGCAGAAGAGGAGCTATAATCTGTTCAAATGATTTCAGAGATAAAAACTTCCACCCTCCTGGTTCGCGCAGTACTGTCGGCGTGACCCACTTTGACGGAGGTAGTCTCGAAGGTGTAGTGCTCGAACCTGGAGGGTTTGGTTCTGAATTTGTATTTTGACTAGAGTCAGTTTGTTTGAGGCAAAGGAGATGAAGCTGAAGTAGGAAGCTGGCTGGGCTTACTTGGCAGTGGTGAAAAATCGCTTCAGCTCTTCTTGGATCTTCGTTTTTTCGATACTTTAATCTTCTTGCATGTTTGCTATGTCCATTTTGTTAACTGCGGAACATTCGCTGTTGCTATCATATTGTCGTTTCTTTGGCGATTAACTCTTCTGCAGTAATTTATTAATTTGCCTCTGCAACTCATCTATTTGCAGTGACATCTTTTCAATAAGCTTCGTCTTGGCTACTATCGTTTCCTGCTGCTTTTTATTGTTCTCCAACAGCTGGCTGATGAAGGCATCCTTGTCGGGTAGAATATATCGGTCTGGCGGGGCACCAAAAACTCTCACCAATATTGGAGCAGCCAGCAGTTGCATCCTGCTGACCCACAGGATCTGTTTCCATCTTATTATACGCCTTTTTCCTGGATTTTGGTGAATTATTTCTCAGAGCAAAACATTCTGTCAACTTGAAAAATACCCTACACAGGGTGATTAAATTACAATCGTATCGGTGTGCGTTCATTACTAGCATTTAATGTGATTTTTATAGTTCTGTGGTTTATACGCTATTATACTTTGTAGTTTTTTAAATCCGTTATTCAACTTGTCCCAAAGAGAATAGGGGTAGGTTCTGAATCGTATCAAAGAAAAGAAAAATCACTTCAAAATTACGTTCTGTACCTACAATACCTCCGAATTGAACGTTCATGCGCATTTAAAGAAATCGTGGTATTTGAGTCTCCTCTTAATAATCCGGTAGTATATGCGTATAAGCCTTAGGCCTCGTCCACTTTAAATTCATAAACATCTAAATTAAACTTAAATTTGACTGAGGAAACCAGCACGCATAGGCAAGTACGAAGTTGCGAAGTTAAAAGAGGCGAGAACTAATCATGAAAGATCAGTAAGGTAGGGGGCAACCAAATTGTCATGGAATGTTATTTTTGAGCACTGTAACTATGAAGACATACTTGCAACTCCAGTTGAGAGACATCTACTTATAAGATCGTAAAAATAGAAAATTTTCCTGCAAAGTTAGTGTCAATATCGAAATCTAAACGAACATTTACTAAAAGAATCGTTGCAACCTCAAGATGTACAATAGGATTATTTAGTAGACATATTAACTTGTTTTTTTACCAGTCTATATTGCAAACTTAGAAGGAATATTTAATGGTCACAAATAGATAATTTTTACTTACCAATATACCCAAAAGAGAACCTAACCTTGAGAAAATATTTTAGGTTAACATTAGGTGAGCTATAACCTCTGGATTTGTCTTCGATGTCAAGAATTCTTTAAGTACTTCTTAGAGGTGTGTTTATTGTAGTTTAGAACCAATCAATTTAACCTCTCGGTCAAAGGTCCATTCGGGCCTCAATTTGATACGTAGTTGCCAATTTTTGACATAGAATTAAACTCTCAAGATAATTCAGCTTTTGATCAAGGATATAACTAACAAAATTTAAAAGTAACTGTTTCTTGGGAGGTAGCCCATTTTAACAAAATGCTAGCTATAGTTTATAGCACATAAATTCAATTGTTCTTAAACAGGACAGGATAAAAAGTGGATAACGAATATTTCAAGAAATGACTCACACCAAATCATTGAGCTGAAACGATATTAAAATAATTTTGTTACTACTTAGTGTTTAAAACAGAAAACCATAAGATTCCCCCTGACTAAGAGACTTATACAAGTAGGAAATTAATTTAAATTTTGTGGTATAATTTCAATCGTGCCTACTACAAAAGATATTGGGCGCAATCCGCCGCAGTAGTGAAACATTACGTGCACAGAAAAAAATTGTGTTTAACTATTTAGTTTGATCCCAATCCCGCATGAATGACGATATTAGCCTTCGGTGGCCTTCACTATGCACATAGCACACAGCCCACAATATGTCTAATAGGGGCGTAGAATTACTGGCGTGGGAAGCTTATAGTATACCAATTTCAAAAATTGATATATACCCTCCCCCACTTCTGCAACCACTAACCCACAATTTATAATCTCTACAAAAAAATTAAAAATGACCAGGAACCTCTGAAACGTCAAAAAAGCAAAGTTTGAACGATTTCAGATTTGTTTTCGCTTTTGGCTTTTCTCTCCATCAGAATCCATCAGGCCTATCGCGCATGTGCGTATGTCCGAGTTACCCATGGCATAATAATAATGATAATAATAATAACGTCTTTATTTAAATATAAAGAACCAAGAGAGACATAAGCAGCGAAGTTTAGCCAAGGCTACTCTTACACTTAACTGTTTATGTCGGTTACATTAGATGTTCAATACAAACAAAAATAATATAAAGAGAAAAAAGAGCATAAACACATATGTGAGCATAAAGATCACATCCAATAACGGCATAGCACAGCCTTAGCCTATGGCGAGCAGCCTGCTTTCGACTTGCTCACGGAAACTAGGCAATGGCATTGATTTTAAGCTGCTTTCCAAGTGATTATAAAATGACGCTGCATTATATGAAAAACCACGTTATAGCGATTTCCGACAGCTCAGTCATGCACTTCACAGTTGAATCGCAATTTACCTCTCAGGTATTCAGGTTTCGATGATATGAGAATTTTATGAACTAAAACTAAGTACTTATATTTAACTAGACTACCCAACCTGAGCCAATTTAATTCTTTATATCTTTCACCAATATGATCATATCTTCGAAGACCGAAAATAAAGCGAACGCAGTTATTTTGAATGACTTGAAGCCGGTTTTTCGTTAACTGAACCAGACACAGGTAATAAACGACATCACAGTAGCTGAGTGTTGACATCCCAATGATTCACAGAGTTTTTATGTCAACTTGAAGTTGAACAAGCATCGAACAGAATGGAGAGCTGTACAGCGAAGATATGTTTTTTCATTGAACTAGCTGTATAGCTGCGGAATCTTAACTTGCTGTCAATTTTAACACCCAGTATCTGAGCTATTTGAGTATGTTGTAGCACCGTTCCATCAACAGTTAATTGGAAAGAGTCTTCAACGTTTCTTCTTTTATGGTCAGAACAAAACAGTATTACTTGCGTTTTATCTGGATTTATAGCGAGATTATGATCTACCAAACCAAACCAAACCAAACCAAACCAAACCAAACCAAATGTGTTTTATCCAAATCTATTCGCAAAGTGGCTGCTGCATATTGTAAATCTGTGGTCTCGAAATGATAAATTATTTGCGCGTCAATGTTTGTATTTGTGAATTACCTGCAACTTTATATAAGTCAAAGGTGTATATTCGGAAGAGCACAAGGCCCAAAATTGAGCCTTGAGGAACACCTGAAGGTATTATCGTGCTATCGGACTGTATGTTATTAATACTGACACATTGCGTGCGACTTGCCAAATAGCTGTAAAAGAAACACACTACATTGTCATCAAATCCTATATACTGCAACTTTGCGCATAAAAGTTTATGATTAGGTAATTGATGCTTTGGAATAATCAAGTGATACTACTACTGTAGCCATTTTTTTGTCCAGTGCCCGAATAACATCATCACAAAGACCCAATAGAGCCGAAGTGGTGCTATGGTGCTTCCTGAAAACTGGCTGACATGAAGATATTATTTTATGTTCGTCTATATATTGAACAACTTGTTATTGTATGATTTTTACTAGCATTTTTGAGAGCACGGTTAATGAGCTTATAGGTCTTAGTTGTGTAAGTTCAGTAGGATTTGATATTTTAGGGACAGGCGTAATTAAGGCCAGCTTCCACTGTTTAATTTATAATGTGAGTAATATGGAAGAAAGCTGTAGGAAGACTTACTTTGATCATAGTTAATGATAGTGTCAATTCCCTTAGCATCTGAGTTCAGATCTCTAATGGTTTCTAATATTTCTGATGGCTGGACAACACGGAACCGAAAGCAATTTTGGTTGTCCAATTTGTTGCTGTCATGGATCCGACATACATTTTCTGAAACACTGTCAAAGCTATACACGGACATAAAATAAATCTTTATTTTATTAGCGTGAGCTAGTTCAACTGGTGCTCCTGGCTTTGAGCTAGATTTTATATTGAGCGTGCTCAATCCAGACCATAAAGCTTTAGGATTATTTTGGTCAGTTAGTTTTTGAATTAAGTCTTTATTATTCGAATTTTATGTAAACCTCTATTTCTGCGTTGCTTGAATTTCTCAAAAGCATCTGTTGATTTACTAGTATTATACTTCCAACGTAGGAGAAGACGGCTTATTAACGCGTATTGTCTTTAAAGGAGCATTTTTGTTATAAATATCAGTAGGAATTGACGTCAGATGTTCAACTTTAGCATCTAAACCATGCATGAAATATAAGTCATTTAGATTAGAGCTACATAGATTGGAGATGAAAGCAGTCCCATCAAATCTGTGGAAATCTCTCATGGTAATACATTTTTGTCGAGTCCTTTCGGTACTAAGTTTCAATGTAGACATAACAAGCTTATGGTGTGATATTTCATGGGCATCGAGAAATAGATAATCAGTAAAAAGTTACGGTTGATTAGTAAAATAAGGGTCAAGCAATGAGGCAGTATCGTTTGTTACACGTGTTGGAAAAGTAACTAACTGAGAAAATCCAGTAGCTTCAAATCTCGAGAAAATGACGTTTATACGATTCCGAAAGTTGTAATTCAAATCACCCAAAATAATAACGTTGTCAAATTTGTTTATAAGGACAGGTAGTAAATTATCTAAAACGTTTACACAGTCTAAGAGATTTTGCGAGGGTGGGCGATACAAAGTACCAATCACGAACTTATACTTATTCATATTCACTTGCACAAAAAGAGTTTCTAAACGGTCAGCAACATGATTATCAACGCTAAAAACTTTTGCATACGAATGAGATCTCATATAAATATGTTATATCGATTTTTTGACATTATAGTGTTTTTTTTTATATTATGTAGGTTTTTCAACAAGATGTTAACTTAGCACTAAGCTGTAAGTGTTGCCTAAACGTCATGGGGCTTCAGTTGGCTCTGATGTGATGTAAAATCTTCTTCAGAGATCGCATTATTGGGAAGCTGTAAGTTATATGTGTTGATGATAATTCCATTGGATTCTTGTCTCAAATACACTTAATTGAGATTCAAAACTAGAAATTAGTTGCCCATCCACTTTTCTTATCCATTCTGGAATATACATATGCAAATTTGCTGAATTTCAAAAATGAGAGCGATAAGAAATAATTAGATTCACTGTATACTATCGAATTACAAGTCATAGTGTACGTCGATACTGAATGCGCGGTGACTGGGGCCTAAGGCGAGCGCGGCGAGCGGCGGCGTGCGGTGTCCATAGCGACACGTGAGCTCTTATACTGGTTCGACGTATTATCAGAAGTTCCAAACTATGGAGGACGATTT